AATAAAATATAATGATCAAAATATCCCTTTAAATTTTTAGGGGTATTTTGGTTATTTTTATTTTATTGGTAATATTTTATCGATATTTTTTACAAGTGTGAGTTTAAAAGAGGATTGGATGCTCAAAATATTTTATAAAAATAAAAAATAAAATAGTGTAAATATGTGATATTGTGATTGGGGCCCTCTCAGGCGTCCATTCAGAATGGATGGTTGGATAAAGGGATGCATAATAGTTTTATGCTATAGGGGAAACATAGAAAGCTTACCCTATAGAATATATAGAAACTATGTGTTATTTTACGAATAATAATATATTTCCAATTAATTTCCCTTCTAGAAAATGAAGATGTTTAAATATGGCTAAATCATCAAATAATAAGACAGTCAAATCATAATTCCATTATAATGTTTACTTTTCATTTAGTTACACCTAAGTATCTCCTAAAAAACTTTGTCAACTTGTTAAATTTCAATGTTATATATTGTAGTCTTAGTTTTAGGGTTTATTTATAGGTTTTTAGGAATTATGGGGTGTTTATTTTTATCTACTATTCACAAGTACTATTCATGATACTGTTTATAGTTACTATTCATGTATACTATTCACGTGTGTACTGTTTATATGGGTATTTTTGAAATTTTAATATTGTTTTAGGGATATTTTAGAGTACTAAATATTTACTTGAATCTCAAGTTAAATTAGGGTTTCATATGATATGTTATTGGAATGAATTTTATTTTATGAAATAATAAAGTTCTTTTCATCTTGACTTGTTTTACAACCATGTTATTTCTTATAACCATGTTATTTCTTTCTTCTTGCTTATTTTACTTGTTTGAGGTTCAGGAGGACGGTGAATTCAATTTCTCACATTTTCTCTATGCATCATATAACCAGGGACATTTTGATAATTTAGCCAATCCCCACCTGAAAATGTTGATATTACCTATGGTTGTTCAAGGTTAAAAAATGGAACAATTGATTAAAAAAGGAAGAAGTGAGTGTTGTGTTCTTAACTCAACACAATGAAACATATTATCATCACTACCCTTGAACAACAATGGTACTATAATCATTTCACTCCTTGCAAAAAGTTTTCAAATGCTCTCAACCTTGAATTTAAATAGTGGCAAATTTAGAAGTTTTGATGAATATTTACATGAGTCTAGTGAAACTTAAGAAATAAGCATTGTCGTGGTGAACATGATCATGTGACCACCATAATGATTTGTAAGGTAATTTGAGGATTTCACATTTTTCCTTTTCAAGATGTTCATTTAAAAATAGAGATGAATTATTGGGAATGTTGAGGGCAATGTGATAATTTCTCACGAGCAATGTGACCATCATGTAAATATTCTCAATTGTATCTGGACCCCCAATTTGAATTTTTTTGCAAGCAAAAAAATATCAATTCCTCTCTCCCCCTCCCCTCTCTCCACCACCATCACAATTGCCACTACCATACCATCGCCACCACTACCACTCCACCACCACAATTGCCAAGCCACCATTATCAATCATAACACTCACCATAGTTGCTATAACGGCTTAGCCACTGTTGCTACAACCATCACCTTGCTATCACCGTCCACCCACTGCCACCATCACCACTCTATTTGGCAACCACAACCACTTTAAAAATCTACCAGCCACAACCACCAACACCACCAGACCACAATGACAAAGTATAATTCACATTATGCTAATCGAATACCAACTGAGAAGACATTGGCATTTTGTAGATTATAATTTATATATATATATATATATATAAGTAATGACTATGAGACCCTCCCACACCTATGTGAGTAGGGCTTCAAATGATCATAATTAAATTTGGACACAAATCTCTATAAAAGTTATTAA